TACATACATACATACATACATACATACATACATACATACATACATACACACCAGACTGCCCCCCACGCCCGGACTTCTGATGTCTCAAGAGAAAAAGGCTGAAAGGGGGGAGACTCTGATTCCCCCTGCAGAGTCTGGCTCCTCCCAGGGAAGAACAATAGAGACCCAATGAGAACTTGCTCTTCCTGCGCGTCACCCGTTGCTGGGCAGAAGCCGTCCAGGGCTGGTCCCCTTGGGCCTCGCCTTGCCATATTATGGCGTCCATGAGGGGGTTGCCTGGCAACTCGGGGACACTCATGGGATAGGTGGAAAACAATGTATACCCAATGAGAGCTAGCTCCTCGTCCTGCTCCTCATGCATCACCTGTCTCCGGGCGGAAGCCTATCCCTTTGGAAGGCTGGCTGGGGCAAGAACGGCTGTTTCCCCCACCCCCTTTCTACCTGTCGAGTGACTGACAAGTTGCCCTCCAAGCCCCACCCATGGCTCGTCTCTGCGCACGCGCGAGATCCAATCACCGGCTCGCTCTCCCTCTCGCGCATGCGCTCCTCTTTCTCACCGTGGGAGGGGCTAGCCAGTGGGGCGCCTGCGTAGTTGAGGAGGCGGCGGGAACGTTTCGCCTCGGGAAGGCGGTTGGGCGAGAATTAGGAGCCTCTTCTGGTAAGTAGGCTCCCCCCCCACGGTCCCCGGGAGGGTGGGGTGGGGTGGGGGATGAGTTTTCCACAACAGGTTTCAGGATCGCGGGCGAGGCGTCTTTCTAGGAGGAGCAGGGAGGGGGCTTAAAGGTAGAGCCTGGCCCGGAGGGGGGGAGGAGGAGAAGGAGGAGGGGAATCCATTCCCCCCCCCGTTGAGGAAGCCGGCCGGGGCAGGGGCTCTCCCGGCTCCCTCCCTGGCTCAGCGCCTGGTTTAAAGCTGCAGAGAAAGGCCTGTTTTCTAGTGGAAGCGAAGGCCCCCAGAGGGAGGCGGAGGGGGATTCAAAGGGCAGAGGGGATCTCTGGGGCCCTAGACACGCACGCACGCACACACACACAAACACACACACATGCACACACACATTCACACGCACACCAGTTATTACATAATTTTCACAAAAAATAACATTGTTATACCCTCATTGCCTGTAAAGTAACACATACAAACTATTAATATGGTGAGCTGGATAATTTTTATTGGTGGACCTACTGATATATGGATGCAATCCACAAATTCTATGTATCAAGGAAAATTACACCACTGGTCAAAACTCTTAGAAAAGAGAGATCTTGCATGCAAGAAAAGCAGAATATAATTGTTCCAGGACAATGCTGGGCAAGACTGAAAAGAAACTTGATGTGTGTTACAATAAATGTGTTCTTTAAAATGTACTGTCCAATATATGCAGAAATGATTGTCCTCTATATTTCTGAAATCAGTAGTCAAAATGTAAAGACACAGATCTAAGGAAAAGGTCTTTGTTCTTTCTTAGACAGGATAGCGCTATGAAGAAGTGTGTCCCAGCAGTAGTTACATAAGTAGAAATAGCGACCAATTTGCAGAAGCCCTGTGGATAGTAATTGCTTACTATGGAGGATTCAACCTTCGGAGCAAAATAGGTACCCCCCCCCATGCTCATGTGTGATCCTGCCAGTAGTAAGGAAAAGTAAGTAAAATGGTGCATTGCTGCATCAACTGTTCAGATACATCACTGATTAAATTCTTAAGCACAAACAGCAGTATAACTAATGATTTCTTAATGGATTCTGATTCAAGAATCTGTCAAGCAGAAGAGAGGAGATAATGACATTAATAAGGGGAACTCAAATCACTAGTGAAACCTTGTTTGCTCTCCAATTGTGTCTGAAAATAATGCTATTTCATACAGGTGCAACAGAAATGACTGAAGTCAAAGGGCAAGCACAATGGGTGATTACGTGATTACAGGGTGTCAGAGGTGATCAAGGAAGCTACTGGGCGCCTGAACCTGAAAGTGAAAACTAGGCTGTCCCTTGCTCCATTAACAACCATTGTGTTTCTCCCATTTGCTCTAATTAGGGTTAAGAGTAGTTACACAGCGAGCTGCCTGTAATTAATGCCACCGGCCATTATATGTGGATATTGATGGAAGAACAGATTATATGTTTGCATCCTCAAGGTTAAATAGCCTGAGCTTTGTAAGTCTTAGTGTACAATTTTAGCTCACATACAGTGAACTCCATTTAATTTAAGGGACTTAATGATGTTCAAGCTCTTTCTGGTTAAGATACCTGCCATCCAAAATATATTTTGTATTATTTAAAATTAATATGAATTATCCCCAAATGTATTATTTAATGTTTAAAACAACACCATCATATCAATATGTGCATGTACTTCTAGCATCATGCTATAGTGTACTCCCCAGAAAACTATGTCATTTTCTTGCTTAGA